TTAGCAAATGAAAACCACAAAGATCCTTCAGCAGAAAGGCTACAGGCAGCTGCACAGAACCTCAAGCTAATACATCACAACAGTAAAAGCCCATAAAAGTTGCAGTCTTTGTCCTACTTTCTACAAGATAGTAGCGTTAAAAAAAACTGTACCTCTTGAAATAAATCAGCCATTCGTTGAACTGCAGTTTCTGGACCGTCTTTGCTTGTAGTCAGAAAGCATCCATTTACAAAGCACTTACGTTCCAACGACCTCAGCTGCAACACACTGACAAACACTACTGACCTTGTTTCAATTATACCTTCTGTAATTTGCATAAATGAATACAATAACAAACTTCCAGTACTTCCAAGTTTAAAACAGCAACTCCTGCTGCAGCTGCACTAGCTGAGTCAATGTGTCCGTACTTTCCTCAGCAGCGTATGACTACTAATATTTTTACCCATAGGTTTAGAATTACAGGAAGTTGGTAGGAATGAAGTCCCATATAATTGAGTATCAAGTCTAGGATTGAATTTCCAAATAGTAACCATGCTAGCAAACTGCTGAGGTCTGAATTATGCATAAACCAGTGAAATAAGACTCTTCCACCTTAAAAAAAAAAAGTCTTTCTGCACTATTTAAATAAAACTTGAAAGAAATCTGGCATTATTTCACAATCTACACGCTGTTAACCAATCACACTTTCTAAAGATTTCCACATAGTAGAAACCTCTCCTGTCAATTAATTCATAATTTTCAGTGAGGTGCAACTGAATTATAACCACAAGTTATTCTAATTAATAATTTGGCATTTATTTTCAGCCAACCATGTTAACCTTTTATTTTATATTTTACCCTTACCAAATTACAGCTATTAAAGGTAGAAAGAAACAAACTATTCTTACAAACTGAACTACCTCATCTTGTTTGCTGGAAGCCCACAATAAGCGGACATTCATTAGAGTTCAATATGGTATGCAAATATATGACCAGCTATGCAAACTTCAGAACACTGAGCTAAGTATGCACAGAGATAAATACGATTACCAAGCAAAATTACAGAAGAAAGCTATTCTGTGTAATTACATACAAACTATCTCACTAATTTATTTTTATTTTTTAGATAAAGTGATCAGCATGTCAAGAAGTTAATATACTGTCAACTCTTACAAGAGTAATGGGATTGAGAATTCCTACTCAATCATTGGCTCATATCGTCTGAAAAGGTCCTTTGCTGGCACCTAGTGGGCCTTTTGAAAAAACACAATCTTGAATCTTGCTGTTAAGTGGGGGGGTTTGTTGTGTTTTTTTTTTTTTTAAAACATTTGGCTATGAATGTACTTTTGAATACAGAAGCCATATATGATGCAGTACTAAACGCTACCACACTAACATGAAATTACTGCTGCTGAAAAAGTGCAAACAGAAGAGAACACTAGGCCATTTATACTTTTATAGGTCATACTACTAGATTTTTTTCTGCTCTATATTTATTTAACCTTTACTGTATTTTAAGTTAGAAGGCAGTAAAATTAACATTTATACCTCCTTCCCAAAAAGGGCCAAGAATCAAATTCACAGTACCCTGTTTGCAAGCAACAAATTTGTTTTCTAATTATACTCCAGGGCTTACTTAACCTCCGTTACCTGAATTCCATTATTAGAATGCAGCAATAAATGAATACTAGCTTATTCATAAAAAGTCAACAAATACAATAGTTCATTTATTTCATTATGCTTTACCAACTGGACTTCTTGTAATGTTAGATGTTGGAGGGGGACTGGGATGGGGGGGGAGAAGAGGAAAGGAAAATACCATAAAAGATTCTTTTGGTCACAGTTTCAAAAAGTTACATTTCAACACCAAGCAATATATTAAGAAAAAAAAAAAAAACAAACCACCAAAACACAACAAAAATCCCACTTTAAGATATGTGAGTGAAGAGTAAAAAATGCATTTCTTAAAGCTCCTTTTCTCCCCAACAACAAATTTATTAGTAGGACAGTTTGTAACATGTTAGTGTGATACACGACAAATTGAAACCACTTTATTAGAGATACTGCTTTTAATAAAAGAAAGCAACACTTTCTCCCCTGATCTGAAATGTTTTTCCAATTTTACTAAAGAAACCTCTAAGAAAATGATAACCTGACATATTTTGGTAATTCAAGCTTAAGATTTAAGTGAAATTTCTCAACATGTCGCTCTTCCTTAGGTGTTAACTGTATAGGTATAACCAGCCAACTACAGCTTCCTTAGTCAACAAAAATGGCTTTTAAAATGCAAAATTCTGTCTTGCTGAATTAGAGTTGACGTAAAAATAAATTAAAAAATAGTAATTTTTAAAAAGTACCAATAGCTCCATTCAGATCTTAACATCATTGACTTCTTCAGTATCAATAACATTTTGGCACTTCATTTGAAAAATATATAATTGTGACAAGTTGTTGTAAGACAGGAAGAGAGAGCAAAAAGTCATCTAGTCCCTTCACTGGTCCATCTCATAAGTGATCTCATTGTCCTTCTTGACAGATTTTTCTAATGTATTTTTAAAGACAACCATAACTGAGGACTCCACAAACTGCTCAAGTCCTTTATTCTACTAACGGTTTGCAACAAGTCAGCAGAACAAACTAGATTTAGTGTTCCCTTACCAAAACCAAGACAGGCGATCTTTGAAAAGTTTTACAGAAAGATTTTAAATCTTTTTACAGAAAGATTTTAATACTCCAATTGTTGATGATATAACCAGTGCAGCAGGACTTTGAATTTAAGTCTAACATTGAAGAAAAGTTTTAAGCCTGGTTTTCAAGAAAGCAACATTTCTTAAAAACAAAAAGCAGAGACTTCAGGCTTCAGTTTATCCCCAAAAGTTACAGGGAATAAAAGCACTTGGGAGAAATTTTTATAAAGAGGAAATTATCTGTTGGGAGGATGATCTCACAAATGTAAGAGAATTTCAGTTTTATCAGCTTGCTCACATCTAGAGTTTAAACAGTCATCCAACAGGTAGAAGAAAGAAAGGTTGATTAACACTGAAGCCCACTAAAATAATGGAAGATGAAACACCTTCTGATCATAGCTGCGTGAAAGCTAGTGAAAGGCACCTATGATTTCTGACACGCGAAGATTAATTAACAGAAGTGGGGGAGCTTGCCAATGCTAAACAACAATCACAGCTAAGGCAACAATCTGACTTACTTAAAACAGCTCAAGACATCTGGGATAGAAACTCAGTGTTTCTGAGAGCAAGCTAAAGAGAAATAGGGAGACAGCCTTTTCCATTCACTGAATGAGGAGATGGAAAAGATGAAAAATACTGGGGTTATTGTAGAACTATACAGTGACTGATAAGGTCATGATGTTTTGATCTCTAAATATAATCATACATAGGAAACAAAGCACCATTTCCAAATTGATGCCAATAAAATGTTTTATTGGTTCCTCTCCCATAAGCACACTGGTCAAACAACTTATCTACTCTACATTAGAGAAAGAATGCTAAGGAACTCTCTTGGTAGAAAGAAAGCATTGGCCTTCTCCCCCAAAAAATCAGGAATCTGACTTTCTAATCATGCCTCCTGGCTTCCAGGGGGTGGCAGTAATGTTCCAATGACTAATGGACGAAGTACTTTGACTTCATGAAGAATACACTGTAACCCATAACATCATGTTGAGATGAACATCTGAGCACCTTGAAAAATCTTATGAAAAATCATATTTAACCTGCCATGTAAGCCACAAATGCTGGTGATTCCCTTTAAAATTGTTAAAAAAAAAGAAAAAAAAAAAAGAGACACCACATTTAGAATCGTAGAATCATAGAATCATTAAAGGTTGGAAGAGACCTCCAAGATCATCGAGTCCAACCATCATTTGAAATACTTGGGACAAGTAATACCACCAGTCAAGTAGTAAATCGTCTGGGGACTGCGTGATGCCTATAACCAAGAAACAAGTCTCTTCTTTCTTAAATCTAATTACTCTAGACAGTTTGTACTTATATTTACATACATTTTCACTCTTCCCAACTTTAGCAGAGCAGCACCTCCATAAAAGATACAATGGATTACTGAATATATGCAGAAAGCATTAGGAAAAACTAATAAGTTTTTCATAGCCAACACACTATTCAAGCACAAAGAGATCCTTTATAAAGGCTATCAGAATGAAACTGTTTGGAGTACAAACTAAAGAGCAGTCAATCCCTCCTACTAGTTTCAAACTACCGCAGAAGGAAAAGGTATATATTCCAGTGAGAAGGAATGTCTGTGAAGTGGCCCTAGGATGCAAGTGTCCTGATTGTACTGCTACCAGCCTTACTCGTTTACAATAAAACGTACAGACAGAAAGATAGGCAAATAGACACCTTCACATGTAAAAGGAGAGCATGGTCAGAGGAGGAGTTTTGATTTCACTGAGAAAATAAATGCACAAGCTATCCCTATCTGACTTATGACCTGCCATTCAGAGAGTCACACCTATCTACAAGGTCATAATCCACTGTCCACTTGTTAAGATTTCCAAAGAAAATGCACACATGCTTTCTTTCATGCTACTCCTCACACACTGAAGAAGCTTCTCACACTGTGTACAGAGATACCTACATTGTCAATACTACTTTGTTTGTGGGAAAAATAAACATTCAATGTGGAGCTTTCAATATCACAGAAGAATCTGGCCGTATCATTTGAAAAGCACTACAAAAGAACATTGAAAAGCACTACAAAAGAACATTGAAAAGCACTACAAAAGAACATTGAAAAGCACTACAAAAGAACGACACTTTTATGAGTTAAAGAACATCAGAAGTTAAGAATAATAATATAACTGCTTCAGAACATTACAGAGTGTGGTAATGTCAGATAAGTAAATGAATCAGGTCTGACTTTAGCTTTACGTTTCATTACAGAAGTTAAGATTGTTTGGTGTGGGTTTTTTATCCATGTTGAATCCAGGTGAACTTACTTTCATTCAAGTCTTTAATACATTGCAATATTAACACAAAAGAACCTACCAAACGGTTTTCATCAAATACTTCAAAAAGGAGTCTGTGTTTCTGAGGATTAACCTAGGAAAAAGAAATATGTTAACAGTTAAAATATATGCTGAATTCCAGCATTTGTCTTCAGCAAAATCTCTACGTTTATGCAGAAGGAAAGAAATACATAAGACCTAAATTAAAGAGCAAATCTACACCTTGCTGTCATTTCACTATGCAACACATTTCCTTCAGAACCAATGAGCCAAGACTGGCGCTATCCCAAACTGTTTTAAAATCCATGTTCATGTTTTCAAACTTTCATGGAATAAAGAAGAAAACATCAAGACTGAAAATTTAACTCTGGCACAAATAAAAATGTTAACAAATATATTGCTAAGGCAAGCAGTTTGTGAGCCTTTTTGAACATTAATTATAGACATATTTTTTATTTTAAGCTGAAGTAGTGAGAAAACATTTTTCCTAATGTGTTAATATAATATCCAACATAGGTAATAAGGCTGTAAAAAACCACTTACTCTAAATAGGAGTTCTTCATTCCACTTTGGGTTTAAGGACTATATAGGGGGGGAGGGGGGAAGGAAGACAGCACTGGTTATAGTGACAATTCTATATCGGTGTCTTTTTTGATGTTTTACATCTGTTTTATCCCATGTAACAATCCGCTTAAGAAGAAAGTACAAAAGCTTTAACCTTGCTATTGCAGGTATAAGTCATCAGAGTCTTATACTGTTTAATACAATGCAGAGTGGAGACAATTTATGCAAGTATTCTCAGATTTTGGCTAATGCCACGGATGCATAGAAGGGCCCATTATACAGTCCAAATCAGTTAATTTACAGTATTTCTTCAGTAACAATCACTGCCTTTCTCCTCAGTCCACATCGCTTACACACAAACATCTTAATCCTGAAATTATGAACTCTTAACAAATGCCAAATCTCTCAACAACGTAATCTAGACAGACCAGGCACAGGTGGGCCAAACACAATATAATCTGCACAACTAAACACATCTTTCAACTGTGGCTATTTTTAAAAATACTAGAGATACTCTGAACTCTCATCATAGCTAAACTAACAATTATCAGCGTGAAGGGAAAATGCATGAATGATCTCGTAACATAAATCACAGCCACTATCTGAGAACAACGATTTGGAAGAGTACTTTCCCTCTCACGCATACTATCTTCCATTTTTAGTTGATCTAACATAAGTTACCAGTACTAACAGTGACTTTTTTCTGCAGGTATTCTAGAGAAACAAGTAGCATCATGATTCAGGTGAACGGTGCAAATTCTGATTGCATTTGATTTTCAAACACAACAAACTGTGTTTGTGTTTCAAACATAAAAAAGATAAAAGTTGCACAGCAAGGAAGAGTAAAAAGTTGCACAGCAAGGAAGAGTAAAAAGTTGCACAGCAAGGAAGAGTAAAAAGTTGCACAGCAAGGAAGAGTAAAAAGTTGCACAGCAAGGAAGAGTAAAAAGTTGCACAGCAAGGAAGAGTAAAAAGTTGCACAGCAAGGAAGAGTAAAAAGTTGCACAGCAAGGAAGAGTAAAAAGTTGCACAGCAAGGAAGAGTAAAAAGTTGCACAGCAAGGAAGAGTAAAAAGTTGCACAGCAAGGAAGAGTAAAAAGTTGCACAGCAAGGAAGAGAGATTCTTATATCATTAAAGATCTCAGAAAATCAGAACAATCCAGTATTTCCATGAATGATGTAGTTTTGAATCAGTACTCACCTTATACTCCTTAGTGTTTCTCTACCTTTCACTAAAATTATTGAAGGGAAAAATACCAAAATAATGCCATGAACAGAGAAACAGAGTAGGTCATGGAACATTCCTTTCCCCATGTCCGTTCACTCAAGTGACATTAATTCTCATACTTCCTGTAGTATTAACTTTTCCTCTAGAGTCTGACCAAAAAACAAACAAAACCACCATACCCACAAAGACAAGACAGCTAACCTTTTTAATAGTTTTTGTCTGAACACTGGTAAGGACTCCATTCACTGGATCATACACTGTCACTTTCACATATGGGTCACTGGGAGGGGGAAAGAAAGGTAAGCATACTGCTATATATCCTCTTTTGTCAGCATTATTAGCAGTTGAGTTTTAAAAGGCTTAAATTAATAGAAGCTATGAAACTAGGAGTTACAATTACTTTATGAACACCATACACATTTGTATTTACAAACATTTTCTAAATAGTTTTAGAGATAAAACTAATCTAAACATTGATACTGATTATGACCACACTAGCTATGCCATTTTATATTCTGTATATCACTACAATTTGATTCTCTCTCCTCTTTCACAGTTCTTATTTCATGAGAACAAATTTAATAAATCCTCATGCATTTCAACAAGACACACATGAAAAAAATCAGTTGTGATTGAAAAAGCTTTAGGTATTACATCTCTTGTTTTTAACAATTTAAAACACCTGGAATTTGAGGTACTTCCTTGAACATGCAGTATTTTTACTAAATGTTTTATCAGTTTCACAGAGTTTGAGTTTAACCTGAATTTTTCTGTTAATGAAGATGTCCTAATATGGTTGGGTTAAAATGGCCTCAGACTGCCTCAGATTTTTTTTCTCCTTCCTGTGGTACAATAAACAACAGATTATATGAATATCTACTTTTCACGAACAGAGTCAAGGCATTCAATTGCTCAAACAGACTAGGTAACAAAAGGTGACCAAGACTGACTGCCATACAGCAAAAAAGCATACGGTTTCCACATATTTAAGTTATTATGAGGAAAGCTACCCTATTTTTGTTTAAAGTAAAAAAATTGCACGTGAAAAAAAAAATTGAAGAGAGACTGTCTGGCTTTAGGGAAAATATGAGTATCACAAGACAATTTTTTTCTAATGCTAAACTGATGTCACACAACAATTTTGCTAGTGCTAAAATAACAGCATTCCTGTACATATGCCAAAGCAGCTGATAGCAGAACTAGTTCTAAACCCATGAGTACTTTTCTAGACCCTCTGTAGATGGGCCAGAAGAAAAAGTAGCTTTAGTAAAAGCTGCATGCTGCCACTTGCCAGTTCTACAAGATCCTACAAAGCATTTCAGTTACAGTCTGATCTTTCCTACGGCAGATGTTAAGCCACTTCAATTGTTACTTCCCTTATACAGATTGTTAACTTTTAAATTTGTACATACCCAGTCTGCAGCCACTGGCATGGGTTTACCACATCTATAGAATTGGTGGATGCTGTTCCTCTGCATATAATTTGAGTTGAAATAGTCTTGTTGTTACCAGTGTTTAGTGTTGTGTACATTCCAAGTCTTTAAAGCACAGATGAAACAATTTTGATTATACCTGAACTCTTGTTATTTTAGCTGCAGTCTACCTGAGGTAAAATATATACCTGTATCTATCCTCCACGGCAGAACTATTTTACCATGCAGAGAATTAAACCTTCCCACACATTGTTTTGCCAATGCATAAGACCTGTCCAAGTGATTCTTTGGCAAGAAAACAGTTATCTTCATGTTTACATAGTCTCTGATCATTTTATAAGGTTACCAGTTAAAACAGTTCTGAATTTTTGAAAAGAGGCACAGCAGGATTTACTAAAATCTAAACAGTTGTGGAAAGAAAATAAAGAAGCAGCTGTCCCTTAATACATTAACGACATATATTCTTACCTGGCTCCTAAGATATCCTTCTTGGCCAGGCCAATTCCAGCTATAACCTTCACCCTGACAATTCGTGTGTTCTCCTAAAATACAAAGTAACATATTGAAGATGCATTCAGATTTATTTTTCAGATCTATTTTTAATTTATAAAGCTAAAGCAATTATTGGCATAATTTTGAACTTACACTGAAAACTATAGACCAAGTAATGCAGTTTCTTTTTCTGATAGAAACACCTCTAAGTTTCAGTAACAAATTTATTCTACCTTTACCCCTTTTGAAGTCTTATCACCACTGTATCCACATATGACGGTAGACACAGCATCCAAAAAAATGGATGTCAATACAGTAGGGTTTGGGGGGGGTGGGGTGGTGTTAATTAATTTTATTTTGTTTCTCAGTGTTCTAAAGGAGTGTGATTTTTATTTGAACTAAGGTGCTTAATCCCACAGGACAGGATTGTTAACCCAGCATACAACTGTTCCTGCCAACCTTCTTTCCCAAATTCTGAATTGTTCTGGCAGCAGCAGTCACCATTTTCCCCAGCAAGCCTTGCAATACACTTGTATCAGACTGGATGCAGTACGTATGTACCGCATAGCGCACATATGAAGATCTTCTCCTAGAGCAATGGTAAGAGCAAGTTGCTATTGCCACAATTCATACAGCCCAGTGACTTCTACTGCTCACAGGTGGGAGAGCATCTGGGAGCAGTTTCCACGAGCAGTTCCCGTGTTTCTCAGCAGGCAATTCTTAGCTGTCTTTTCTACAGAGTAGGCAAGGACCTTTGTGAGAACATGCTCTGAACAGCATAACAATTTTTGGTGCACGTGGGCATAACCTGTTGGGACGCAAGGAACGGGTTACCATTTACATCTCACTAGCCATTGAACTGAGTTGCATTAAACACTCAGACAAATGCATATGGACCAAGCAAGTTTTCACCTAATAGTATCTGGGCATTCACCAGAGGGTGGGAAACAGACTTTGACCTAATAAATTTATTTCCTGGGGGGAATGAAAAGGGTATCAAATTTATCAGAAGAGATTAATAAAGCAGTAAAGAACTCTGGAAAAAGGCAAAAAAAAAGAATTCTTGCATCTATTTTTATTTTACAGCACAGAGAGGCCACACTCAAAATACTGGGATTTCTGAAATGACATGTCAGCAGGGTATGAGATTTTTAAAAACCAAAAAATTATTTCAGTTACACATTATTCAAATTACAGCTTCACAGGAGTGACATAAGTGATTGCACTCCTCCTGTTAATTAATATAGCTGTGCAGAGTCTTACACGGCTCATCTGATAAGCTACCGAATTCAAGAAGGGGAAGAAAATCCCAACAGCTGTGACCATGTCAGAGGAAGAAGACAAATGAGCACTGTTTCTCCGGAAAGCAAAAAGCTTTGCAGATGAAGGACTGTTTGTAGGCAATGGCTAGTCAGAGACGCTTGTGAGAAAAGCTGATGCAACCTAGGTGGTTAAGGAGTTAAACAGATACCAAGAGCAATGGGTGAAGCAGCAGATGATGTCCCTGGGGCCTTCCTGAATTCCACATATGTTTGAAAGTGCTTTCAAAAGGAGACCGGTAGGAAGCACTCAGAAAGTTTGCTTTATCATTGGTCTCCTATATAACCACAGGGCTGGACTCCCTAACCAATACCAATTGGAGGGGCTCGTAAAGCTAACGGAGAGAACTGCACGCTAATCCTGAGGCAGAGACTACTGGCTAACAAGGTAAAGCTGAAAACAAACCACTAAATCAAAATAAAATCTAAAAAAAAAAAAAAAAAAAGTAAGCAAGTTTCTCCCACCCTCTATAGTTAGAGGTGATTGCCAGGGGACTGAGATGAGCATCTACAACATCCACTTACTAACAAAACAGTCAATTGGCCAAGACAATTCCAGCCAAATCACAACTTTATCTTCCACCTTCACCTCAAAGAAAATTGTCTCCTACTAGGAAATCTAATAGTTCAGAAAATAAAGACCTAACAACCAACCTCATCCAGCACTGACCACCAGTAGGTGTCCTAAGCATGATGAGGCTTTAAGGCACATAACGTTACCAATATGTTTTATGACAGCAATAGAACTGACCAGATTTAAGAAAAAATAAGTATAAAACTATGTTGGCATCAAATTAGGAAGAGCCATTTGTTAATATTTTTATATATCATAAATACCCTAAAATATCCACCCATCTTACATTCCAAAACAGTGTCCAATTTATCTTCTATCAATTACTTGGCTTCAGTGACATCCAACATCAGCGAGTTTTGGAGACTACTCAAGCTGAAGAGTACCACGTGTGCATTTCCGCTCTCACTGAGCACTTCTGCACTTCACTCAGTGCACCACTACCCTCTCCCAACAAGAGGAGGGTCCTCAATCACAGCCCATGGGACCCAACTGACAGAACCCAACTCAAGAAAATCTCACTGTCTCCTTCTCAGAAAAAGACAAAGAGCAGACATTGGTGTAGGATACACAGCCCTAAAAGACAAATACCTTTTCTTGAATACCTAAGCATCTGCATTTAGTTGCTTAGACCACAAGCTTTTCTCAGTTATTCAAACATGAAAAAAGTAAAGACAACTAGATACTTTTGGGCACGGGCATCTCAGAGTCAGGCTTAACAGGGCATCAACGTAGTTCACAGGGACTCAGGGGAGATCCCAGAAATAGGATCCACATTCCTCAGATCTTAAAGTTGGCTTAATCATGTGGTTTGTTTACTTGTATCATAATACAGATCTGAATTTATCTGAATGCTATTTTACAAAAAGACAAGTTGCTTTGTATGTGACCTCAGGAAACTAGAAGCTGCAAACCTGAGGCTGGCATGCTGAAGGTTGACTTAAACATGCCTTGCTGACAGAGAATTATTTGTTTGGGGTTGGTGCCAAACTAGGACAGCTACAGGATTTTAGTTAGCCCAGCAAAACAACTAAGCAAGCTGACATCTGCTTATGAACTGCCATGTACAAATATCCTTCTGATTAACAAACAATTAAAAAAAAAAAAAATCTGAATTGTTCACAACAATCCCCCACAGATCTCCTTTTTCACTTTCACTTTTTCCACTAACCACTCCCACCCACAAAAAACCCACCCCACACCTTTTTGTGTATTTTTTAAACCGATATGTGATACTGAAGGGTCCGTTTCTTCCTTTTCCAAGAGCAGCGTGGGTGGGGGGGGGGGGGGGGCGGGGGGGAACACGCTAACGTGCAAGGGCAATACTTAATCACAAGAGCTTAGGTTCCCCATTTTCTGGTCACACTAGTGTGCAAGGCAGATCAGGAGAAATTCAGACAGCTCGATCCAAATGCAGTCAGAAGTGCCTTACACTGGAAGGACCCATTATGCTATGACCCCACACATCCTGAAGAGGCAGAGAGGCCTGCTGACAGGATACGGCTCTGCGCTGTGACCATATGACCTTTTCTCCCCACTCACTGATGACAGGCAGAACTGCTAAGGAACTGCTGCTACAGCTCACAAAAACTGTCCCAAACACACTGATCTCAGACAGCGATGAACAGCCAAAAAGTTTCAAGACTGTTTGAAGCTAATTTCATGCAGCCAAAGATTAGGCAATGCAAGCTCTGCATGGAGACAAAGCATCAGATACTTGATTCTGGCATCTACAGGGAACAGGTTCAAAACCAAAATGTCATGGTTTCAAAGGCAATTTTGAACCTTTTCTTCTTCATCCACTTTGCTCAGGAGATCCTTATTTGCCCCTTTTGTAGCCACTTGTACAAGAAGTGGTGGACCGGTAACTGCTTCTGTAGATCCACAGGCAGCTGCAGCCTGAGAGTGTTTTCATGATCTGAGACACACAGGCTGCAGCCTGTGCCTCTTCTTTCTATATTGACTGTAGACGCTCTCAAGCTCGGCTTCCTACTCTTTTCCACCGCTGCAGTTCTTCCAGTGGCTCTGGTGGCATAGGAAGGGATAGGCACCTAGTCAGTAACCAGGAACACACCAGCTACGTCTAGTAGCACTGCAGCTTGTCTAGGAAACTGCTCTCAGACCAATTTATCTCCCTAAGAGTCTCTTCCTGGCCATAAATGCCTACCCGCACTTTTGCAGTCCTGACGTTAACTTGAAGGGGTCAGTCTGAATTTATTCTGTCTGTACAGCTGAAGAGACAGAGTATTCACTGCTGCTTTGAACACAACAGGAGTCTTACAGGTTTAATGCCCTAGTGCCCAGCTGCCCTGTAACAGAGATGCACTTCTGAGAGACATGCACACATGACAGCCCATCAAAGGCACCAGCTCTGGGCACAGAGTTGTACATGGGTTGTTTGTATAGATGGAGCAAGGATGTTGAGCTTCTTTTGACAACGTTTGACTGCCAGCCACTTTGGAGGGAAAAAAAACCCGTTGGGAGGGGGGGGGGGGGGAAGAAAATAAGAAAAAGATAAAAGAAGGGAACACAATAATGGCCCACAACACAGCATCATATACAAAATACAAGCAGATCATTTCACAATTAAAACTGTGAAGCTGTTCCCTCTGTGAATACAAGTACCCCAATATGAATCAGGTAAAAACAGTGTGGGAAAAGAAGTATTTGTTAAACTACTGAGTCTGCCAGGGAGTGACTGCATACAGATGAAGTCCAAATGACACTGAGTGTTTATATCAGTTAGCCTGCTCCTAACAAATTCAAGGATAAATTATTTTTAGAGGTTTTATAATATTTTTAAAAGCTGAGGGGTGGGATATGTGGGGGCGGGATAAGGCTACTACATATTACAGAGACTGAACTGTCCTAAAATTCTTGGTCTGATTAAGTCAGACAAAACATCCTTTACAGAGCTCAATCAGCAAGTTAGTTATCTTATTATGAACTTCCAGGTTTTATCATTATTCTATTGTTAATCGTATTAGTATATTCTAAAGAACATGTTCAAGATTAACTGGTCAAAATAGCTGGGTCTGCTAACACATGCCATTTTCACAGTCTTAACAATGAATCTATTTACTAACAGCTAGTATGTAACAAGATGATGAAATAGAAGGTTTCTGAGCTGATACGTAGACAATCAATAACTTAAACCTTTAAAGGCAATGCCTGCCAGCTTGGGATACTTTGAATGGATCGTAACACAGAAATCCTTTTTATGTATGCCTATTAAAATAGTTTTAAAATGTGTTCTCTACACAGCAAAGCAAGAGTCAAACTAATAAAGTGGCACTTCCAGAAGTGGACAGTGCTTCATTTCCACAAAAGTCACTATGAATCTACCTAGATTCAATGAATACATATTAAGGTGAGAAGTTCTTGAACTGTTCATTTTGGGCAAGAAAACAGCATTTGGAAAGAAATTTCAAGCTTTTAAAGAGTTTAAAACTTGCTCACAACTTTATCAGACTAGAATGGTCTTGCCTGGGTTACAGCTGTTTATAGTCAATGACTATAAAGGACAGGTATTATCACTGTCCACTCTCACCGCCATCCTTCCCAAATTCACATGGTAGGAAAATAGTGCTAATGACAACTGGGAGAGCAACTCCTACCTTAGTGCTGGAAGTCCAAGAAAGAGCAGAAGACAGAAGAAAAGACATATGCAGAAAGGGTGAGAAAGAAGGCGTCAATAAAGAAATGGTTACATGGTGATGGCTATAGTACAAAACACTGAACAAACCAGAGAACGATGATGTGTGATCCTCGTCTGAGTCCCTGAAGGCAGACTCCAGTCTGTGAGCATGCACACGTGCATGTGTACATCTGCATGTACATGCGTGCAGCCGGAGTGTGTTGCCAGTTCCATGGACTGTAAGTGATAAAATATTTCCTACACAAACTAAATGTGATAAGATTCACAACAAGATTACAACAAAGAGTTGTAACTTGTCACCTTACAAGTTTTAGCTGCTGCCTATACCTGAGTCAGGGGAGGCGGAAAAAAAAGCTCAAACTTTTTCATTTTGTGCATTGAAACGTTATAATGTTACGCCAGCAAGAGGAATTTACCTTTGCCAGTCATTATTGTCTGCAACATCCAATAATTCAATTATGAATGTATTACACGACTAACTGTTCTCCTTTGCTTGAAGCGGTAAGACGAAACACATAACATGCTATTATCGAATTCAGTGGCTATAAAGGCTCTCCCTGATGTTAATGTAAACACTTCAAGTCCAAACAATTTTACAGGAGTTTTCAGCAAGTTGCAATCCATTTCCCAGGTTGAACAATGATTCCTGATACATCCCAAACCTCCAGCAGGTGACTGACTGGAGTTTGACTCAGATAAACAACTATCATAGAGAAAAAGCAGTTTGACATGTGTACGATACATATAAAATTCAGATAAACTAAAATAATTATATAGCAATATAAGAGAAAGGGTTTTGGCTAGGAGTAGGGTTCTTCAGAGTACATATTTGATTACTATTGAAAAATTAATTTTATTGGCTTTCCTATTTTAATCTTTGATTCAAGTTTTGGTTTTGCTTTTTCAATATACTTCTACAAAAAAGATTCACACAGGATGTAAGGAAACACCAAAACCAGGATGGTTAATTTAATGTAAAACATGAAATGGTAGTATCTGCTGGACTACTAAACAGCTTTTTTTGAGGAAGCCAATATAAAAATGTCTGAGTAGTCTAACAGAGAGCACACTTTGTAGTAAACAATTGCTCTAGGCAATAACATCCTGTTATTCTTTTGTTGCAGCTAGATAGGTCAAGAATCAACTACCACTAAATCAAGCCAAGAAAAGATATTGTGGCATCAAAGGATATTACAACAATAAAACAGTCAGCAGCATCACCTTTTAAGATTCTGGTAAAATCAAGAATTATATATTAAGGCTTTCTGAAGTTTCATACCATGTCTGCATATAGTGCACAGATAAAAAAAGAACAGAAAATTCAGCTTTGGCTATGTGCAGATAAGGCAAGGTGAAATAAACATACCAATAGTTTAGAAGTTCAAAACTGAAACCAGTAAATAGCCTGGCCCATTGAATCAGCATAAAAAGGAAGGGATGTTCAACGGGCTAAATGTGTTCTACGTCCCATGTAAAGCAGTCCCTCCCATCAATGTACTGAGGTCCAGGAGGTCAGTAGAGGGAAAGGAGGGGAAAAAAAATATATATATATTATCAAATATTACACAGTATTCAGCAGTGCACATTACACAGACTGCTGACCTCATTAAGGAACAGCTATAAAGAGCAAGAAAAGTTAGGACGTTTGCATGGGTAGAAGAGCGCTAAAGCCAAGACCCTGTTAAAGAGTAAGTACTAGCATAAGAGATACACACCGTGAATGTATAGTTTCTTTTACAGCATGCTTCTCAAATCTGTGAGACATCTTACTCAAGGTACTCAGCTTTACCCTACTAGTAGCTTCTATTTCAAGCACAAATCATTGATTAAAGACTGACATCATCACATAGGAGGCTCTGAAGCCTAGAAGCAGCTCGGAAGCTATGCTGAAAGCTACTTACAGTGACTACATATTTCAGTTGAATACACAGCTTCTTGCATCTGCCAATTTTAGTAGTTGAAACTGCTGTGTTTCTATAAGTTAAAAAAAACCTATCTTAGCAAGTTTCCTAGCCTTTATCTCCCAACCAAAAGCACTTTACTTATTTCAAATTGCATTAAAAGTTTGGTTTTTGTTTTGTTTTCTACCTTAAGATCATTAGTGACCATAGAAATTATGTTTAAGTGTTTCACAACGAAAACAAATTCCTTAATGGCATTTACTGGAGCGATAAGAAGTCTCTTCATCTCAAATAAACCTTTCAGAGTCTGAATAATTAAGGATTTGGCTCTTCCATTGCCTACACTGAGGTTAGCACAGAATGTTTTCCCTTAAGCGGTCCAGAAGATACTGACATTCTTCACCCGTCTAACCTTAAAAACAACATTTAAAAACAGACCTTCCTCATATATTATAGAGAAAGAGGTTCTAAGAATTTTCAATATAATTCTTTAGCTTAAGCAAAAAAACTCCAACACATAAATTATAAGATCAGGCTAGCTAAGAGCACTTATATATGCTATATTCAGCTTGAGAAATTCCAGCAGGAGATAGGTGCAAAGTTGACAGCATGAGAAATAGGCCCAATGAAGTTATTGTTAAAACCTACCATCTCATTTGAAAGAAAGCATTTCCCACAGAATGGTGAGCCTTAGCTAAAGGAAAGTAGTTCCTGCAATATTCAGACCTTGCAAGTGTGGCAGACATATGTTAGGTGACCTCTAAACGATAATAAGTTTTGTTAGAATCACCAGTTCATTTCACCAGGAGGTGGAAAGTGGGAAGGAGACTTTGCCATCTTGACCATTCCTTCACAACCCAGAGAGCACTCTCCTCCCCCTCTATGGCAACCAACAGAGCTGAACCATTTTTCTTTGAAGAAATTCTCTCAAAGCAAGCAAAGCAAGTTTTAGATTCAGGAAGATTCCTATTACAGAACTACATTAATCAATCTTGTAAACATAATGAAAGTCATTAACTTCCACCTGCCGGTTACAGTCATCTTACTAACTCACTGAAAGAACTTAAACATTAATTGTACCATAGGAGCATTTTGTGTTTGTAAATAAGGAAGTCTCATCCTTAAAGAACTGCTGGATGTTGCTACAGATTGTATTCAACACCTCTGATTGCAAATTAAGGAAAAGATTCAAGAAGATGAATGTCCACTAATTGAGTTATCCATTTGTCAAGAGAATTTTAATTTAACAACAACCCCCCCCCAAAATCCCCCCACACACACACAAACAAAAAACCCTTCCAAACCAAAAAAACCCAACAACAACCAAACCACTTTTCAACATGTGCAACCCAATATCCACAACAGTCACAGTCAGTGTTTGTTAGTTTAGTGTGAAAGGCTTTAAAAAACAAACCAAACCAAACCAAACCCAGGTACATAAGATAGCTTCTGGAAACCATCAGATCTACACAAATTACATTGCTGTTAAAAAAAAAAAAAACACCACCAAAAAAAAAAAACCAACCCGCACAGCAACCTACCAACAAACCCAAAACAAAACCAGAAAACCTCCCAAAACCCCAAACCAGCAAGCATCAACATTTCTGCAAGTGTCTAAACTATTCAAGATACACTGGATTCCAGATCACGCCTTGCAGGAAAGTCCTTCACAGCCTAGAATAAATTCAGAGCATTTCTGAAGCACAGAGGCATGCATGTCTATTTTTTTTTTTCTATTTGAGTGCCCCATATAAGAACAGAGTCAGATGGAGCAGACATCCAGTACAGAGGTGCTGGGGAGGCCATAAGATTTGAACAGGAACAGAAGCACTGGGCTGCCTCAAGCTCAGGCGCAAGTGAGTCAAACAAAATTACTGTTTATGTCAGAAGCAATCTAGAGGAAGTCTAGCCCATGTCAGTCTCCAAAGTAGTGTCTGAAAGATTTCTGGTCATTGGCATCATCTCTAAATTATAGCAATATGAGAAGAGTTGAGGGGTAAGGTGTGCAGAAGTAGAGAAGACAAACCATGTATCCAAGACATTCAGTTCACCAGCAGCAAGCTAAATAACCATAAACAACCTACTCCAGTAGTATATCCTAAAGGAATATGAAATATAGCTAAAGCTTTCCAGAATGAAATACCGTATGCTTATGAGAAATCTTATGTGACCTGCAGAAAACAAGAACACTTTTTCTACATAGAACAGCTCTCAAGTAACTGAGCAATCTAAAATGGCAAATGCATAGGAGTGGGAAGTGCATTTTTGCCTATGAGAAGTTCCCATTACTAGTTTGATCCCTGAAACAGATCAAACATAATAGACACAACAAATAAAGAGAGATAGCTAACTTATATTATTTAGGCAATATAAAAAGAGCTAAGCAAAATAAGAAAGTCCTTAATTCAGGCTGGGAGTGCAAGAACTCTGACATACAGAAATTTTTAAGATAAACTGGCTATGAAATATATGTATGTAGACAAGTGGCGCCATTTTAATAAATGCCATTCCAAAGCCCTACAGCACAAGCAGGTATTTTAATAGAAAACAGAAGTAAATACATTGTCATTCTGGACAGTTCTTTAACAATTGTATTTTTAACCCAGCAAACCACTGAAAAATATAATTCCTCCTGTAACCAAAGAAATAACAGAGTAGCCGAGATATCAACAATTCTTCCTTCAGTCTTTGAAAGATCATTCCACAATTACTGTTAGAAAATGCTGTATTTAGTATTGCAGTCAATTGTCACAAAAACACAGTAACTGTAAAGGAATAGCTCAGTGTCAGAAAATGCTTGATCAAAGTGTTTAATCCACAGAAATCAAAGTCTTAGCAACCTGAAAGCTTTGTATTAGAAAGTCCTTCAGCTGAAAACCCTGTAGCTAAGGACACCCCACCTTAACAAGCGCATTTAAGAGCACCAGCAAAGTTACCACTGCTATGACAAAGAAAAGCAGCAGCAGTTGTGTCACTCTGCTCCTGCGATCTGAACCA